CCTTAAATGATTACCTTAGTTAAATTATTTTATTTTATTAGGTATAGGTATTGAATATTTAATGTGGTAAGTAGGTACCTATCTATTTTCTTTTATTTCCRTCGATTTTATAGTATATTTACTATTATGTATACAGTATACACCATAAAAGGTGATCCATTTAAGTGACTAATCATTTCGAAAAGTTTTAACTTTTTAAATAATATTATTTACACGTTTTAAGTTTATCGTCATCATTTTTTTTAATAACAATATCAATTCTCTATTTCATATTTCAAGTAGAACATTTTTCGAATATGGCAGATATTTTTYGATTGAKTTTGGTACATAAAAATATAATTTTGAACAAATAGATACCTACATTCTACATAAGTGCAATTTGGTGGGCTTGAGGAAGCTAGGCGCCTCAAAATAATCTAACAGAAAAATTAGTTGCCCCTTGAAGAGTGGTCACTGGTTACTACTATGTACATAATCTATAAAAATATATTTTTATTTAAAATATAGTTGGATGTMTATTTTTGCATATTGTTTTCAGTTTAAGGTATGATGAGGTGCAGAGAGCGATTTTGATATGCAATTAATATCAACCCCCCCCCCCAAAACAAAAAAAAAATATTTATTTAATTATCAACCTATGAACATTTGCTATAATTATTTTCTAATAAAAAGCAAATAAAAAAAAAAAAAAAATTATGATCAATCTCTGAAATTCGCCTTTCAATATTAGATTCCTCATATTACCCTTTTTAATATAAAATATATAACTTAGATGTATAAAATGAAAATTTAAAGAATATATCAAATATAAATAACAACTTTAGTGATATTTACAATACCTTAGGTACATTAAGACAAAGAACATTCTAATAGCATAACATTTATATAATATAGTCATACTTATAAATTAATTAAATTATTTTTATCATAATCTACCTTGAAGGTCTAGTTTATTATCATTACAATTTTAAAAGGACAGTAGCAACCTTATTTAGCCTTAATAAGAAAAATTCCATTATAAACTTTATTTTTAATGGAAATAAGAACTAATTAGTAATGATATTGTAAGTCGTTAAAGTAGCCATGTTATAGTAAACAAATAATATATAAGCATTAAATAACTTATAGTAAAGAGATTTTAAATTATAGGCTATGGTACAGAATACAGATGATAGTTAGTGG